AAAGCCACGTAATTTTTGCATTATATGATTTTAATTCACTTGATTTTCATTATTTTTTCATTTCTAAATTTCATTCACTTTGTTACAAAAATCACTAAATGCACTTGTTAGATTTTCACTATGACTAACTAGTTCTTTGGAGATATTTCCTATTTCTAAACAGCACAAAGAAACAGTCTGACGCAATGATTCTAATTCCTTTTCCATTTTGTAAGTCCATTACACTCAAAAGTAGAAAATTTCAAAGTCTTTATCCCTGCGCTGAAGCATGTTAAAGTCTTTATCCCGACGCTGCCACCAGTGTTACGAAAACTCTTCTACTTTTGTGAAAAGTTTTGTTTATTCACTTTTTTCGCTTAAAAGTCAACCATTTCTCTATGCTGGTACAATGAACAAGTCAAGTCCAAGTGAAAGCAGGATTATATTTATTGCAGTAAATCAAAATAATGCATCATTTTATTTTCTATCAACAGTCAAAACCAAAGTAAAATTCTTAACAACTTCAACAAATACATTTCTGCAATTACTAACTAACTCAACTCAACCAACTTCAACTCACTCCAAAACTCCTCAAAAACCCCAAAACTAACTCAGCTAGAAAAGTTCCCAGCTTATATACCCTTCTGTTTGCGCAGCTAGGGTGGTGTGCAAAAGTAGACTGTTGCGCGACCTCTTATTGCGCGACCTCTCCAGTTTTGCACACAACTCATTGCGCGACCTGAATGTTGCGCGACCTTTTAAAATGCTGACAATGCCTTAACAATGTTCAAAATGGCCTGCAACTGGTTCAGGTATACAGACTGTTGTACAATACAAACATTAGTACAAAAATACATAATAGTTATATAAATTTACATGTTTGAACACTCAATAGGATAATAATTATCTGTCCAATAATGCAACTTAATACATGTAATATACTTGCAGTAATAAAGATATATGTACTATATATGGCTTATAAGACCAATACACTTACTACTGATTGACATTTCTATAAACTTATAATACTGACTGATAATTCATTAAACAACAGAAATATAATCTCTCCAGCTCTACAACATACAGCTCAACATTTGAACCAAGTAACCTGTACATAGATAAAGCTGTGAGTAAGGAATCCCATTCATAAAATCTGATATGACCAAATTATGCTTTGTTAACAACAATTGAGATGCTGAAGGGCTAAAAATAACTTAAACCTTGTACTTTTAGTCTGCGCGACCTCTTATTGCGCGACCTCTCCATATTTGGAACTAGCATGCCTGGGAAAGCTGATTCTGCGCGACCTTTCCTATTGCGCGACCTTAAGTGTCGCGCGACCTTTGTCTGCGCGACCTTTCCAAATTTGGAATGAGGTATGCTCATAATCTAAAAATAACTGAGCTGTGCCAATATTCTGGACTGTTAATGACTCAATTGTTTTACAACAAAAATGAGTAAAAGTTAACATAAACATTTTAACCAGCTTAGAAATATTGTCCAGATTTACCATCCTAAAAGAATACTCTTCTAGTAAAAGATTAGTTTCAAATTTCATAACAATATATAATAACAATATAAAACTAAGTATGTAAATTATATAAAAAAGCAAATGTTGTTTTAAGGTATTCCCACCCTAATGGACATCATAGGGAACTATTATTTAACAATATGCCATAAAGGGCACCTGTATGTAAATATTTATTAAAATGTATTTACGGTATTGTTAATGAGTAATGTATAGTTTTCTAAACTAAAGCGTGTACATTGGAAGTGCTCTTTCTAAGAATATCTATTATATCATTCTTATGAAAATGTTTCATGATAATATCCCTTTTTCCAGTTTGTTTTATTGCTTATCGTTAAAAAACAAATGTGACCTTAACCTTTCACCCTTTGACTTAAATATCACACGGGGTCATCTTTTGACCAAGACCAATGCACCTATGAAGAATAAAGGTCCAATGACCCATGGATTATTCAGTAATTGGTCAGAAACTGTACTTACTAGTTCAACGTTTAATTTTGAGGACATTTACAGAAAAATGGATGCAGAATTCAAAAGGAAGAAATGAAAATTTTGCCTTTGTCTCTAAAACCCATTAAATTGAGAGCTATTCTTGATTTATTTACGAGTACATGTGTATTGTGTCGTCTTATCAAGAACAGCATACATTTTCTTTTATTAGACTTTGAAAGGAACCACTTAATTTTTTTCATCAAATTTAATATTTTGTAGACAATTTATACCTATAATTATTTAACAAATTAAAATTTAAAACACTTTTTCTTCTGTTTGAAGAAAGGGTATAAAATATACACAAATTAAGTTAAAAAGAAAACCTTTCAATCCAGTTGACAGTATTTTTAGCTTAATCAAATAGTTTTCGAAGTGGAGATGATGCATTTGGAGGTTTCTTCCTAAATAGGTCATAAGACGGTCTTACATATGCTATTGTTTAAAAATAATGTTATTAAAGATATACTATGCTCAAATCTGATATCTGAAAATATTGATAATTGCTACACAGTCTCTTAATAGATATGAAATAAACATGTTTTGACTTCAAACAAAGTGGATGTGTTATGATTAAATTTCTACAAACTAAAGGTGGTCACTATATAAATATACAGTGACATTAAAAGAACTGGCAGTTTTTAAGAAAATACCAACTTTACTTCAGGTGAGCCGTTATAAGAAATGCAGCTTCTAATACATAGTTTATTTGCTTTTTTTTGTTCCAATTAGACAAATCCAGTAAGAACTTCATAGATTTCAAAAAATTTCTGTGATTAAATAGTTTACTAAAAGATGAGCATAGTATATCTTTCAGGAAGTGGTAAATACACATTCACATTGTAAATAACACTAAAGAAGAATGGAATCATAATTATTTTGTTCAAATTTTTGAGTGAGGAATTGAGAATACATCAAGTTCAACTGCAAGAAGTTGCTCATCAAATTTAACCCAAGTATTACATTCATAAGTAAAAAACTTTTGAACACAACATAAAATTTGTATTTGTTACAAATGTACTTATTGTAAGTTTAAATGTCTTGAAAATTAAATTTTGTGACGCTACAATGTGTCTTGTTTATCATACTTTTAATGTTTCTACACACAAAGCAAATGTTTTAATACCTTAATTGTAGAAAGTGCAAATACAACAACAACAACAACAACAAAAACAACTTTTACCAGCTTTTCCTTTTGATTGATCGATACAATTTTCAAAGATTTATCGTAATTATATGCTAAGCTTCATAAAACAACACTAAGAAAATCTTTAAACGGAAAAACTGTTTTTTGTAAACTTTTCTCGTTTTCTACTTTAGGTTAATAACAGACAATTTCGACAATTCCGATGGCTCAATGTCAGCAAGTTCCTATGGAAGGTCAGTTTAATCATAATACTATTTTAAAAAATGTTGAATCATTTATACGTTCTTTTTTATTTTTCTATTTATTTTTGAATAGATAATTAAATAATAAAGTATGATTGTATACACTCGAGAACTAGCTTAACTTATGTTGCAATTAAATACCATTAACATATTTCTTACTTTCGGGAAGCAAAAAAAGTACACATCACAAAATTTTGATTGGTTCACGACATGTTTGTATAGTTATGTTTTTTCTCTAATACATTATTACTTTTAAACAGACAATCAAATAGTATTTGATGCTAAAATATTAAACATTTCTGTATGTTTAGGCCAATACGACGCTCCAACGAAACAGTTAAATGAGCAACAATTATGTCGAGTCGCTGAAGCTATTGGTAGGAACTATGAACTTCTCGCGATTGAGCTAGGTATAACAGAAGTGGAATTAGACAGAATAATGGGTGATTACAGTACTACCATACAGAAGGTTCTTGGGATGCTCCGACTTTGGCAGAGAAAATTAGGAGAAAGGGCAACAATGGATGTACTTTATAACGCGATTAGCAGGAAAAAGGGCGTTGTCACGGTCAATAATGCAATTTTAGAAGAAGTGATTTCAGACATGTCACGTGTGGTATCACTTAGATAATTTGTTCTATTGGAAACACATCAACTTCATTGATCATTAAAATACTAAATTGTCCTGAAAGAAAAATGAACAATTCTACTTTTCAATGTATAACACTAGCTTCGTAATTCAATATAGCAGACATGATATAGATAATTATACATAGAAAAATAATATAGAAGAAAACTGTTTACGTAATATTATGAATAATTTGTGTTAGATGATCCAAGTGAATTTGTTGTAAAATAATCTGAGATAGATTGTGCAAATTTTACTATATTTCAACCTGCAATGTCATATTCTTCGTGAAAAAGCCAGTCTTAGCAAGTAGCTTTTGGAGAAACTCTTTTAATCTCATTTGAGGCAGTTTTGACGGTCACACTTTTAAGTTCCATTTTGATTTTTTGTCATAAAAATTGAATTATCATTTTTAAGTTTTGTCATTGAATATATCGGTTTGTAATAGTATATGTAAAACGAAGCAAACATAGTATAAACAATGTAAAGAATTTTAAAAAAAAGTTTTTAGAATATGTAAGAATTTTCTTGTTTGAAAAGAGCATATTTTTTTTCGCAAGTTAAAACCATTTACGTTCAATTATGCATAAAATGTCTGTAAGCATCTATAACAAATCGATTCTTACCTCTTTCATTAGCTGAACATCATCATATGTTGAATAGGAATAAGGATAGAAGACACTTCCACAGATTTCCAGTCATTATAAGCCTAGATCATGGACAATTGATTGACTTATTGATCCTTAGAAATGAATATTCTTGAATTATTGTTAAATTCAAAGCGTCAAACAATTTTACATCAACTTTTAGAAAATAAAAATATTTTTAGAAAAATAATTGACATACTGTTATTTAGAATTGTATTGTGATTTGTGTTGGAAATAAAACTGATCATAACCACAGATATGTTTTTAAATTCTTCAAAACAATACTTAAAAGTGAAAGAACTTAAAAATCTATCCGTCTGTCAGTCTGTCATTCCACAAAACTGAATCCCGCAAAAAGTACTGAAAATATTTTAATGAAACTTGATGTATTGATTGATGGCAGTATGGAAATTATGCACGTCTTTTTCTTTTCTTCCTGTGTTGAAAATTCTGGTTGCTATGGCAACAAATAGACTGAAAAAATGGCAAATTTTACACATAAACTGAATCCAATGATAATTCAAAAAGTACAGTCCTGGGAATATTTAAATGAAACTTGACTTGAAATATTAGTAGATGGCAGTCTGGGAATTATGCACGTCTTTTTCCTTTCTTCCTATTTGGATTAAAATGGTTGCTATGATAACAAATAGACTAAAACATGGCAAATTTAACACATAAACTGGATCTAGAGAAGTAATGAAAATATTTTATGAAACTTGAAATATGGGTAAATGGCAGTCTGGAGATTACGCGCGTCTTTTTCTTCCTTACTATGTTGAAAAAGTTGGTCGCCATGGCAACAAATAGCCATAAAACATGGCCTATATAACAATATATGTGATTAGTTAAAAAGAGCTGACACTTTTTATGAAACTTTCAATATGGATAGATGGCAGTATTGAAATTATACACATAATTTTAATCTTGACTATAGGAGTATAGTGAGAGCTGTCATACCTACCAAACGTTGGCAACCTTGTCAAGATTTCTGATTCTAGTTTCTGGTTATCAACCATATCATATGTGACAAGATTTACAACTCTAGCACAAAAGTTATCAGAATTACCTCCCTTGAACTTAGAATTTTCATAAAAATGTTTTTGTTTATAATTTCTTTATTACTTTATGTTTCTGCATAATAATTCATGTTTCATGTAAATATGTACATTTTACGAGACCCCAGTGTAGATTGCCTTTGTTGCAACTATGTAGCCTCTTCAAATAAAGACTTTATAATAATTATTATCATTATTATTATTTATGTTTCTTATCATCACTTAAACCATTTGTGAGAAGGTTCAATACGCTAGCAAGACTATTTCCAGAATAATGTCCCCCTTGAACTTAAGATTTTTTTTCGAGAAATTGGTATATTTTACTCCAACTTCTTCATTATTTATAGGATTTACTTCAAACTCCCATATCATAATAATTTGACAAGGTTTATAAATCTAGTATCCATACTCCTCCTTAAACTCTGAATTTTTCTTATTCATTCTTTCTTCATGGATTTACTTCAAATTCAAAATAAACATTCATTATCAACACCTACATTACTAATTGTTATTTGTTACACTCGCATCATGTATGACAATGTTCATAAGTCTTGCATTTTTATTTCAAGAGTTATCTCCTCTTTAAGAATTTTTCTTTTAAAAATGTTATATTTTGTTAACAGGGATGTTTAAAAAAATAACTTTAGAGTGTCCTTCTTCTGTCTGTCAGTCTGTCTGTCTGTTCATAAATACTGTTTCCTGTGATAACTTTTAAAGAACTTTTCTAACAAGTTTACTTAAAATAAAGAACACTCGAAACATTAGTGAATGATGAATGGCCCTTCAGAATGTTTCTGGGGTTCTAACAGGTAGGGGACTAATGGATTGCTTGCAATACCATGATAATTGCTTGTTAAATTAAACATAAGACGCGTTGACCATTTGAGAAAGATCCTTTTATGATTTTACATTTTTTAGAAATGACCAATGAAATTCCCAGAATTCAGTATGTAATTTTAAAATGACCAATGAAATCTCTACTTATATTCAACCTTTCATGTAAATTGTAGAGGAAGTCAAACTGATTTAAGAGGGCCATAGGCCGATAAAAATTTACAGCTTTAAAATCTTACCATTTTATGAACTAGAAGCTGGAATCGCCTCATATTATATCCTATAAAATGCATCTAGGTGACAGATGACTTAAGAACACACAAATCGGATAAACAAATACAGGATTAAATTCATTATAACTATCATTACCACCATCATCATCACTAGCATCCTCATAACGATCATAACCACCTTCATTATCATCAGTTTTACCATGATCATTACCATGATCATTACCATCATCATCATAACCATCACCATTACCATCATTATCACATTATTATTATTATCATCATCATCATCATCATCATCACCACCACCACCACCACCATCATCAACATCGTTACCATCATCATCATCATCATTTTACTGGTGTACATTATATATCAGAAAGTAAATGTGTGTTTTTGCTATACACAGTTTGTTTCCTGAAAGTTATAACATGTAAGGAGTTATCTATATTCAATCATTTCGCACAAAAAGCAATTGATTCAGTGTAAAGACTTTTATATGCATATTTGATAGCCAACAACATAATTTGTTATCTGAAAGTTTTACATTTTAAAAAATATATGTATTTAACACGTGGTCATTTTACACAGAAACTAAAATGAAAGTAATCAGTGATACGTGAAACAGTCGGATTTCGACGATATGGACTGGTATGAAGCACAACATGAATACCATTATAGCTAGAGTAATAAGTCATCTGAAGAATGGAACCAAACCGACATTTAGACCTAAGGTTCCGAGGCTTATGTTATCTCTGGTTATCTTCGTGCCAGATCAAAGCTCATTTTTCAACAACAGGCTCATTATAGAAGAACAAAATTAATGTTTTGAGTTTCAATCGCCTTAAACTTGTGTTGCCTTCAGATTTGAGGGGGGATGTCTTCCATACAATCCATTCAGATTTAGGACACCGACGACGGGAGAAAACACTTTCATTATCTAGAGAACGCTTCTTCTGGCGATGGATGGAATTCTTATTAGTGGTAATAGTAAGATAATGTGACCAATGTATCAAAAGAAAAGCCCGGAGCAGCAAAGCAGAATTAGTAAACGTTTATCTTCATTTCCAGTGGACATACAGTATATTGATTATAATTATTATATTTCATTAGAACTATCAAAATGTGGCTTCGGAAATGATTTAGTAATTACCGACTATTTCAACAAACAGCGAACAGCAAAAGCAACAGTTATTTTTGACGATAACGGAATAATGTAAAATTGCCGGTACTTATAATTAAATAACAGCTATTTTTTACCCTCAAGGCAATCCCATGGAACGTTTCAACTCCACAATTTGAAACAAGCTATGAACTTTTGTAGATAACCAGACAGGCAATTGTAAGGACACGTTTCAACATGCGTATAATTGGTACAAACATAATAGCACTGACTATTCACAATACTTCTTTATATTTGACCGCATATTTGACCGCCAGCCTAGACTGGCAATTTATGCATTTCCTGGACTACAAACATACAATAAAAACAAGCTATGCCATTCAGAATATATTCATCACTTGAATGATTATACAACGCAAGACACAATTAAATGTATAATGACATTAAGACAAGACATCTGAAATAAGTTCCTAGAGATAGAAAATTGGTTCATAATGTGTCAGTCAGAGAAAAGAATGAGCTAGCTGATAAATTGAAATATCACCCATATGTCATTATCAACCATACAAATGCTGACACAACCGTTATTCATGTAAAAACATCAGCAAAATAAGAACATTGCATCGAAATCTCTTATTGAAAATGTTATGTACAAGACAAAGATTCATCTTACCTTAATGAACTTTGGAACAAGAAATGGACACGTCTGTTCTACTTTCTGATGAAGACACAATTGGGAAATATGTAATTCGTCAACGAAAGAATCAGGAAATATGTTTGGTGAATCCACAACCAATTAAGATTCTGGTGCAGAAACAAATGTTACAATTTATAAAACTAAAGGAAAGAAAACAAAGCCTTGGACGATGAGAAGGAATGGCTGGATAATTGGATAGAGTATATTAATTATAGTATACCATGGAATTATATGAATTGATGTCAAGGAGTTTAAAAAGATTAATTTACGTATTAAAGCAATTAAGACAAAATAAACAATATATCATGAACATACCACTATATTATACATTTGAAATATCATATCAATATTATTCATACCCTTATATATTTATATATCGCGACATATTACAGGCGTCGAATTGTCAGCATAGTCATCACGATAAATGTTTTTATTTTGATGTGTTTTTTATTTCATTTTATGTTGCGAGAATTCTTTATAAAAGGGACTCCACTGAGGTTTTTTGACATGATGTAACTGGAAATATTTTCTTTCGAAATTAAGGTTCCATTTGATGCAGGTATATATCAATACGTTATGTGCAAAATTTCAAATTATTCGCTCTGTTTTTCCACAATGATTATTTTGATTGAGAAAAATGACCCAAAATAGAACAGCGTTTCAACTATTTTCGCTCAAATCGAACTAAGAATCGCAAAAAAAATACGATTTCAATTTATTTCTGAGTATATGTATAAATTATCCTTTAAATATCCTTTTGTTTGAAACGTGCGAGTTGATCCATGTAAGAAATTCAAATGTTATGATTTTTGGCTTTTGGACATCAGTGGAGGTCCTTTAAGTTAAGATATTTTATTTTTTGACTAAAAACATTTCGGTTTCCTGCATATCATTAGATGTTGGGGCTAATATGTCACAGGTGTAGAAATGCACATATATATATCATCACTATATATCCAATATACTAATTCTCTACATTTAAGCAGTATGCTGTACCAATGTAAATCGACTACTCAACGTGATATACAATAACACTGTTTTGTTATCTTTACTATTCCTTGGTTCTTTGGATAATTTTTATGACGTACATATGTTTGACCAAAAGGGTAAATTAAACACTTTATTTCGAAAAAAAGATTTAGATTATATTGTACTGTGTATGTTTGGTTTTTATAACCTTACATTAAATCATTAAATTAACTATAACAAAACGGCATTGATACAAAGCATCAAATGCGTCGAAAAATAAATTTCTAGATGAAAAGTAGTATACATTGTGCATTAATCAGTGTCAAAGTTCACTTCATCTTGAA